CTAATACAAATTAACACGAGAGACTTTAATGTAATCTTTCCACTTTTTGGTGATCAAGATAACCAATCCCTTGAACAAGTTAGCAAGAATATACATCCGAGAGATAGTCAGATTACATGGAGTTTCAGTGACAATAGTGTCCGACAGGTACCCCAAGTTCACTTTTTAATTCTGGTCTAGCTTCCAGCAAAGCATGGGAACGAAGTTGTCCTTTAGTACTGCATTTCACCCTCAGACTGATGGACAGTCGGAAAGGACGATCCGCACATTTGAGAATATGCTCCGAGCTTATGTTCTTGACCTTTGGGGCAATTGGGATGACCATATACCCCTGATAAAGTTTGCCTATAACAACAGCTACCTAGCAAGTATTGGCATGCCTCCGTATGAGGCATTGTATGGCCGCTCATGCAGATCATTGATATGTTGGAAAGAAGTGGGTGATAGAAAACTATTCAACTCAGACCTTGTAGAGGAGACTACAGGCAAAATAGTTAAGATCAAGAAGAATATTCAAACGGCTCAGAGCAGGCAGAAAAGTTATGCGGACACCCGGAGGAGGGATTTGGAATTTGAGAAAGGCGATCGAGTATTCCTTAAGGTCACTTCTTTCAAGAGAATTAGTAGGTTTAGCAAGAGGGGAAAACTAAACCCCTAGTTTATTGGGTCATTCAAGATCTTAAACAGAATTGGTACCGCTACCTACAGACTGGCCCTGCTTCCATAACTTTTCATGGTCCATAATGTGTTTCATGTGTCCATGTTACGCAAGTACAACCCAGACTCTTCTTACGTCTTGGCCTACAAGCCTCTTTCACTCCAGGAGGATATGTCCTACGAAAAAGTACTGGTGGATATTGTGTACCGAAAGAGAATATTACTCTGCAATTAAAAAATTCACTTGTTTAAGGTCATATGGCAGAATCACACACCGAGAGAGGCCACATGGGAGTTAGAATCAGACTTCATAGCCTAATAACCCCAACTGTTTATTTGTGAG